TAGATGGTAAATAAAGAAGCTAAGTTAGAAATCAAATAAAATATGTAGTTAATAGTAACATTAACGGGGCTCGTGAAGGTATTTTGACCTCATGGGGGAGGGGGGGGGGTTATACAGGCTAGGTGAAAAGAAGTACCAGATGATATAAATATATAATGGATCTTAACAACGAGATTTAATGGATTTAAGGAAAACTCAATTGAAAATGAAATCACACAATCATCTAGAAGTTGCACTTAAAATAACTGCAATTACGAACTACTTCAGAAAGGCTATTTTAATGCATTAGTTCTCTTCACTGGCTGGTAAGTTGTTTTACAGTACTGGCACATTACTTCGAGGAAATTTTTTGCGCGAGTACAACCACATCGGAGCGTCTATCAAGTTGCTATCCTACTGCAACAGAATCCCCGAAGTCGACATTTTCGTTCCCCCTACCCCCCCCCCCCCCCCCCACCACTTTCATGCTGGATTCTTTTCAGAGAGACCATGAAGCAATGACCACAATGGTTTTTCGACTCTTTTCAAACAAAATAAATGAATTTGGAAACTGGCAAAATGATCAAAGAGTAATTTTTCAAATACACTATCTTTTCGCTTATAATGATAATAAGATGCATACTATTTGAACACTATTTTCAATTAATTAAAAAATCAAAAAACGAGGGTTTTTAAAGAACTCTCTGACTTCAATCACAATAATGTTTTTCTGGGAAAATAATTAAAACACTTTCCGTCTCTTCCATTGATTTGAAGAGTAACCAATCAAGATCTGAGTAAAAAATAGTAGCATAAAAGGTAGCAAGTAAAATTTTGATGCAAGTTCAAATTATTCATTTGATGGAAAATATTAACACATGAAGAGATTGAACCCATGATTTTAGATTGAGTAATCATTCAAAATGCAGTCTCTCACGAATATGATGTAAGCGGGTTATTTTTAGAAGCCTGCTCGCCCAAATTGCAGAATTTAGCCAATCAATAACCTTCGTGTGCGTTCAGCATTACAGACAAAGGGCAAAAGGAAGAGGCGTTGCAAACCGGGAGGAATCATCCTGTCACGTCAAACACACCTTTATTAGCTACTTTATCTCCTAATTTCAGAGGAATGCATGCTCTGAATTAGTTATTAATTCATTTCAAATGTCCTCAGGTGTTATCCAATGTCGGCGTTAGATAAAATAGATACATATTATAGCCACCACCTAGCCAGGGGGAGTTTGAGTTACGAGAATGTTGTCGATTCTCTGCGGCCTACCCAATACTAAACCAGGTGTTAAGTTTGAACATCAATTAACTCGTATCTCTCTGGTTAGATTACATCAATGCGAACTCATTGGACGTAGTGACTAATCGCACAAATCGGGTCAGGCTAAGAGAGGAGGTGGTAGGAGATACGTCACAATGCTTTCTTTACTCAACTATTTGTTCGACTGCAAAGATAGTAAAGGAGCATCGAAATTAGTGCTTAGATTATTGAAATTACTTCCGAGAAATGTCAAAGTAAGCATAAGACCGCGAATTCCATTATGAAGTTTCGAGAAAGAAACTGGAGACGAATGATTTTATTTGTGCCCTTCCTATGCCCTGTTATTATAAAAAATTATCAATAATATAATTAGACGTTTCTATGCAATGAGAAAGTAATCAAGAAATACCAACCATTGTAACGAATAAGCTATTATTTTCATATGCACCTTTTAGAATGACTAATGAAAATGTGATTATGAAAGCATGTATCTACATGCAAGTTTGAATTTCCCGTTCTAAACGAATTCAACCACAAAAAGAGCTTCGTAGTTTGTGTGAGAAAACCGTTTTTTATGACGAAAATATTCCATTTCGTCTTACCCCCTAAAGTCTCTCTTATGGAAGTCTATTAAACTACGACTACATAGGATAGTGTCGGAAATGAAGTTCACTTTGACAGCAACCGTTTCTGTCTAGAAGAAAAGCAAAAAAGAAAAATGAAATGCATAAAATATAATTTCTATTTGGTTTATTGCTTGGCATTAAAGGAGGTTCTATGCAGTGCTTGTATAATGCAGGCAAGAGTCTTGACTTCAAACGGGCTCTCCGTTCCACCTGCCCGACCTTTATATCACAATAGTTTTTTTTACTATATTACGGGTGGGCCAGATTTTAATACACACAGATTCCGTTAAAAGAGGATTCAAGCACTTAAAAAGAACTACTACATCTGGAAAAAAACGCATTTTCAGTCGTATAAACCTTCTGGAGAGGTCAACATTAGATAACTGGAAGGAAACTGTCACGAGAGTGAAAGTGTGAAAATGGCGTTTGATTAAGCATTTTAGTGAAATAGCCCAGCTCTACTTTTTACTTGCTCAACTGCCAAGTTTCTTCCCTATCTCTCTCTCTCTCCCTCTCTCTTTATTCTTTATTATACTGGCCACATTGGCCAATTGGGAGTAGCATTTACGGTACCGTAAATCAAAACACAGGTGACCATAGGAACTGAATGGCCAACTTGCTGTGGAATGAGAAATAAAAGGGGTGTGTATTGGGGAGAAAGATAAGTATACATATATATATATATATATATATATATATATATATGTTTTCTTCCCTAATCCCCCTCGATTTGGATTGTGATGTGGTCTGAAAATCGGTAATCAGAAGGAAAGAAGAAGGTTAGGATCGCGCCTAAATTATCTCGCAACTATGTTATAAGAATAAGATGCCATATAAATTGAGTGACGTGTCTGAGATATACGCTCTAATGTTGCCATTACCAGCACTATGGATAGCGAGAATGGTATTCATCGTGGATTTTAATTTGGATTTGCGAAAATTGTGCAATAAAATTTTTGTAAATGCTCCCTTGCTTCGACATCTCCGTTCGCATTAGAAGTAGGCAACAATATCGAACTTATACCCCATAGAGAATTCTATGAAAGAAATGGGTGAAACCCACTTTGTAATACTAAGTGCGGGGTTTTTGACCCTCCAAAAATGGAATAAAGTGAAATAGCAAGACCAAACTTTATATTCACATAACATGTCAATCAACAATGAGGGTAAAAAAGAAGCCGTTAAGTGAATCAAGGGAACGAATAAAAAATTGAATTCTGAAAAATGAAATAACGAATCGCTCATTAAGTGACTATTCAACAACCCCAAAACTGGAAATAGATTGAAGAAACTCTTTTAACACTCGCCTTTCAAGAACTTACGCAATTTCTGCTGCATACCTACATTCAAAAATTGATACAAAAATTATACACAGCCGTGGCTTACGATAGTAATTTTTTATAAAAACTTTTCTGCTGGAAAAACGATCGAATATAACTTAAAACCCCTGTTTCTGTCTGGTTTAAATCTTGAGAAAGACAACTTTCTTTGAGCTGCCATGTCTCATTATGTACAATATTTACCCAAAGACAGTCCTTAATCGATATCCTTATGGAATGTAACATTTTCCTGAGGAATTAGCTTCACAAATCCTCAAAAAGCTCGACAAAATGACAATGTGCATTCATCAATCTTAATTAAGTAAGGCATAGGTAAGAACTCCAAACTCCATAGAACGAATCCTCCTAGTCTTTCACTTAGATTAGAATGTGGAATAACTGCACCCCTTGCCCGATCGGCGAACTATTCTTATAAGCACAGGGAACAGTAGTATTAATTAGTTAGTTGTAATGTAATGGAGATTGCCCTAGGGAGAACATGTCTAGTCTAGTTCGCGTAGTTTTACTTTAATACGATTATACCTGTTTAGTTGTATTTGTGGAAAGGGAAGATCCTTCTTATTATGGACGGACACCAAGAAACCTGAGAGAATGCTTGTACTGCAATATAGGGTTAAATGAGAAGTTTTCGCAAATTGATCTGAATACGAGAATTGCAAATGCAGTAGTCTAAAGGAGAAGCTGCCTCTACCCGAAGACTATTCTATTCGAAACCTAATATGCTCTCTCCTAAAAATCAAAAGCTTTTGACATTTTTAAAAACAGGCTAAAATAACAATTCTGAAATGAATATCGGGTTGAGGGGTCTCAACTGTAATCAAAGTAAACCCCAGTTAAGTTGAGGGTTTACAAGCGTCTCGACAGCACACCTTGCCGATCATATGTCATAAAGATAAGGACGCAGTTTGAGAAATCAAAGGAACGATTCAAAAGCATCATTACTTGAGTGGTGAGGAAGAAAGGCGGAGTGGGTCTCCAGAGCGGTTTGACTCGTGATGAAGGAAGGCAAATTTGTTGAATGTGTAAAGAGGACAATCAACGAAATAAGAGAGTTCATACGAGTAAAAGGGAAATAATACAAGTTCGTCATCGATGGTAAGATGAAGTATATTTACAGAAATATCTTAATACACTTTCCACTTTCTTCATTATTTTAATATTAGAGGACAGTAAGAAAAAGTTCCAAGGTGTTATTTTCAAATAATTTCGAGAAAACAGCCTTTCTGCCGAATGTTCTGAGGGAAAATAACTCCTAAGCCCATTCCTTGCCATGAGCAGCAGATTAGAATAACTGAGACCTCCAGGTGATAAAATCTACTTCGTTCACCCCATCAACATGATTTGACCAGTTTCATTAGTTATCAAGGTCATTCTCAACGCAGTTGCCGATATTCTGTTGTTTTCACCTCACTCCACGTCTGATTTATCGGCTTTTTAATAACAATAAGAATCAATATATGCACATTAGAACCGTCATAGCTGTTCAAATGACAAAATAATTCCAATGTCCTGTCTAAATGATCTTTTGGAACTCTCTCTCTCTTTCACTCTTTCCCATAACTAATTTCAGTCTTTTCAATACGCAATCTTTTCACTTTTTTTGTCTTAATTTCGTAATTTGCATTAAAATCGTACGTCCACAAATATGACTTAAGCATAGATCAAAACGTCTGATTTCCAAACTATGTTTGCGCCATTACTCCGGCTTTCTGCAAAATTTTCTTCAATCTACCCTTGATTACAACGACAATCCGATAGGTGATCACTGGCATGATTCTTATCATATCAGTCATGCGGCGTCTTCTTCTTCTTCTCCACAGAAGATCGCCAGGGAGGGTTGAAGAAATTCTGGCTGAAGCAAACACAGAGGAAAGGAAAAGCACGTCACCAGAAAGAAGATTTGCTGCCAAGTGTGGCCTTCCACATGAAATGAACAATATTTCAAAGAATGAGAACTATAGAAAACACCATCCACTCTGCATTGGTTAGTTGAGCAGTAACTTTCATTCTCTATAGCGTCTCCTTTCTCCTCTCAAATACCACTTCCGAATTCGCTGAATTTAGATTAATTGAAGCAGCGATTGACATCAGTACAAAGAATTAGTCCGAGACCCAAGATCAATAAAATTAATGACAATAGAATTGCTATGACAATGGGATCAAGCATAATGACTATTGGTAAGAGGACAGAAAAGCATTCACCACTACACATGGGTACGTTGGAGACTTTCATTCGATGCTTGTCTTCTTTCTTTCCCAAACTTGTACTTCATTCACCCTTTACCCAAAGAAATAAGATGTCAGCCAACTATTGCAGGACCTTCTGATTTCATTCACACGCTCAAGAAAACCGGTGAGAGTACAATAGGCGCTGAAGGGAACTCCCAAAACATGAACACACAGCTTAGACTTATTGAAGGAGGAAAGGACACCACAAAGTGGCAACTGGAAAAGGCTGTTGAGCCCAATAGTCGGGATAGGAGCACACAGGTTGAACTTCATGAGGTTGGAAAAGCCACACCTCTATCTAGCAAAGCCACCTGTGAGAATACTACCACTTTTCCATTATATTTAAACAACATGCTTTAAAATAAAGTATTCAAATGGATTTTCATTCTTATTCAATTAGCATAAAAAGAGTAGAAGAAGATAAACGAATAAGGCACTCATTTTGACAGTTCAGGTGCAATAGAAGTAAAAAATACTGCTGAATATGTGCGATAAGAAATTTGAGCAGAAGACAGCTGAGTGTCGGATAATTCTATAAGGACGGGTAACACTCAACAGGGGCTGCATGTATCGAGAATCGACCAGAGAAAACAGAATATCGTTGTGTGAGTTAAAGGTTAATCAAAATGTCCTATAGTATATTATTTTAATCATTACTAGCTATGCATTCTTTCAAACAATTATTTATCGACTAGTGTATTGCCTAGTGGTTCGTGCAATCGGGAAAAAAACCATTGCTCACTAATTAAATTCCAATAATGAGTTATTAAATAGTTCAAACAATTCAATTTAAAGATCAACAATAATGCAAAATTACGTCAATCAAACAGTTAATAAATGTTTAATTTAAGGCAAAACAGTTATTTAAATATGCGTAAAGATGATAGAATATGTATATTTCCACATTGAGTAAGTTTTTATGAGTTCTGTTATCTTGAAGTCATGTTATCTTGACGTCAAGGTCTCGTAGCAATGCCATTGATGGAAGAAAAAGGGCCAGAGAGAGATCTATTCAACTAAACGGCAGAAAATATTGAATAAAAATTTCGTTAAATGTACTCATTCACCGACCATGCCTGCAGTTGGCCAAAATTTACAGTAAACGCTATCCGCTATCTCTATACGTTCTGAATATTCTCAATATTCTTGCGGCAGCAATCTTTTCCCATGGGGATTTCGCCATAGAGATGGCTGAGGCTTAGTCAAGGACTACTTGCGCAGTACCCACTATGTTATGTAAATTGCTTCTCATCATACAAGATCCTTGTATGTTCAAAAGATTGGATAGCAAGATTGATGAGTAAAAGTTGAACGAATACCAAATATTTCTTACAATTGTTAGCTTTATTAATTAATGAAAAGTTGCACATTATTGCGGTGGCCTGAGAAGTAAATTGTCAAAACCTAAAATACATGTCAATTATCAATGAAAATGTAGTTATATCAATCATTGAAATACCCGGAGCATTGCCTTTCAGCTCATAATAAGTGTGTTTTGAAATTAAGGACTCCAGAGCTTATCCTAGCAATGAACACTAGTTAATCTCTGAGAGCTAATCAAAAACTCCTCATTCCAATTCACTTAATTAAATTTCCCATTATTGCTACTGGCTCGAATTAAAATTGGTGGAGTAGAAACTGGAATAAGCACGATTTCTACAAATTTGCTGATACATTCTTTGCCGAAGATGAGCATTTGCAATTATCTTTGATTTAAAGGAACGCAAGCTTTGACATTCTCAAATAAAATCAAGTTAGTCTGGGAAAAGATTATCAGTTCTCAATAACTAAATGGAGGAAAGTTTTGAGGTTATGTAGAAAGTTGCACATAGTTCTCAATTAATTACTAAGTTTCTCAATAATCTCAATAATAGCCAATCTAATGTACTTTTACTTCACTCTAATTTATATACACCATTTATACGTCATTCCCAGTAACAGTGCTCTTTGTAAAAAAGGGGATTTAAATAAAAGATATAAATAAAAAGGTTGATTTAAACATAAAATAAAAACATTTTACTACAAATTAGTAACCGGCACTATGCGCTATTTCACTTTAACTCAGCGTCATAAATTTGAGTATCGAAATAAATAAAAAATGGAGGTAAATTAATTGCATTAAAAGTGCTGCATTCACAGAAAATTGATTAAGATACTTGCCTAGGAGACATTGTAAGAAATCCGTGAATGCAAAGGCAGCAACCTTAACACTGAAGTAATCACCAACAAGACGATTTTTCGATCCAATTGCCAAAAATTCCAGAGCTCTGAACATGTTCTAAATAGAAAAGAGAGGAAACGTAAAAGGGGAATATGGAGAACATTTGCTCACATACACTTTTCAGACTGTTTAATATTGGAATTCGGCCCTTCTGTAAACCATTAGAAATGTGCCAACTATGATGGTAACCAGGAAAATCCCGACTCTCAATATCAAATCGACCATAATTACGGAGCTGAGAGAGTTGGAGATTATTCAGACGTCGGCTTCTTTGGCGTTCATCTTTAGCGAGAACACGATACTCGTTGAAGTCTTGATGAACAAACAATTCACCTGAATTTGGAGCTTCATGAGGCTTTTCCAAATCAGCAGAAAGAAGAGAAGGCGGCAGAGAGACAGACCAATTATTCCAAGTAAAAAGAGTATTTTCAACAAGTGAAAGAATTGGAGCAAGACATTCGTTCTGAAATGGAGTTGATAATTGTGGTAAAGAGCCATTAGTGAATAATGGTTTCTTTTCCGGTCGCGGCACTTCACAAATGCGAGGGTCTAGTAGAACCTCCATCATGTAATAAATATTCCATAAGCAAACATCTAAGACATAGAATAAAAGTTTTAATTTTTTATAAATACTATAAAGTCGCAAAAGTATACCCGAAATTAGTATAAAACTATTTATTGAAAATTACTGTATGACTACTAGAAATATCGTTTGCCAAATGAAGATAGGTAACTTGAAAAATATTTCCAATATAACACTAATTACAATCGTAATTTAAACTAGATGCGTAAAGGATGCAATGCATTCAAAAGTGGTCCTGACATCGGTTAGCAATTCTAAAAATATATACTCATTCATGATATAGTACAAACCGGTGTCCCTTAATTTCGTGGTTCAAGGACGAAAAGGACTGACCTGAGCTTCAAATTGCCCTTGGATTGAAGGTGACTGATGCGGAGTAAAATCAGCATCAACTTAAGAATCACAGTCTATATTAAATGAAAACTTTACATTATTAAAATATACTAATAAATCAAATATAAAATTTAAAAGTTGAAATACATTTACTTAATATGATAGGGTACCGCGGTAAACTAAAATTTTAAATAGAAGTCTAAATGAAAGTGTTTATACTTATAGAATTAAAACTGTTCATTTCTCAAGGAGTATGCTCACAGTCTTTTTGGAGTATAACATTAGAATTCATATTAAATATTGTCAATACTTTCATCAAGTAAGGTAAATTAACAATAGAAAAATAAATTCCCTATTCGGTACATTTACCAATATATAAAATTTCGGGAAGTGTTTTAGTTAATAAAGGTTATTTTTAAATATCCAAATAGGAAAATTCGAATTATAATAAATCATTGCGTAGAATATGATAATAAGTATTTGGCAAACTTTTGTACTTTCTGTCTCGAGTTATTTAACTACGGCAGGTTTAATACAATTTTGCCCAGCATTTCTGCTAGGCAAGTTTTTCAATACAAATCCTAATTTTGAGAGCACTATGGAAACAAGTAAATTGCCATTTGGGAAGCTTTATTAAAAAACAAGGTTTTGTTGTATTGAAGTTAATCAAGGAGATGTTGAGAGAGGATGCATAAAACTGGTGAACTAAGTAAATCGAAATTTTAAATTGAAATGAGCAGGCGAAATCAAAAAGAAAAGTTCACCTAAAACATGCATGGTTTGAAATATAGTTAAGATAGTGTCGTAACTTAAGGTCAGGTAAGGATACAAATTCACCTGGTATATTTTCTTTTTCGTATAAATAATTTTAAAAATACCATAATTAGGGCTTTAATTAAATATGACCTCTTCAGAAAAGAACATTTATTTGTAAACTGATATAAGTCAATAGTTAGATCCAATTTGCTGCTCAATAATCTATTTGCAAGTGCGAAGGGTGAGGGGAATGGCTTAGGTCAATTGAATTCCCCCCTCGAAATATATTTGATAAGTATGAATTGTTACTGAAATTAAGTTATGTTTTCAAAAAACACAGACAATTAAATAAGTAATACCGATCAAATAGCTAGAGTTATGTGAAATGGGATACAAACAGCACATATTCGTTAACAGATAAATAAGATTTACAAGTACATATTTCATTATTCAGACATCCATAGCTTTAATTCATCAAGATTTTGGAACATGATTTGAATCTGCTCGCGACGCCAAAGAGGGGTGTGCGATAGACTTACCTCCACATGGTGCACCCTGGGCAACGTATACTCAAACGGCAAAAAAGTCTATAAACCTGCAGTTGACTTCTGACTTCAAACTGCCAAGTCCCCCCTGTATGCCATATTCGACTACTCCCACAGTACTCACCTCAACTTTTTCTACCTTCGTCGTTGAAACACTCTTCTGTCCTCCCCCCCTCTCGACTTTTTTCCACTTTGATGTTCCTTCCCCTCTGTAAAGCCTGATGTCAACTAAAGGACTAATGATAACCATCAAAACGCCTGCCATTTGATATATAAAAATAAACTTTAAACGCATATTGAGAGCATGAACGACAAAAAGTGTGAAGGATAGGCTAGTAACAGTAAAACGTACACTAACAATTCAATTAATGGCTTTGTCAATAAATAAAAATGCTAAACTGTAGGGCAGTTGGCAAAATGTTAATTTGTAAATTAAAAATTAAAAAAAATATATAGCAAAATCAGTAGCTATCGCCATAAAAGTCTTAATAGTTTTTTCCCAATTATGATTGTCTTGAAAATTAAACCTAATGGAGAAAGTATATTTATTCATTTTAATTAGATTTGTTGTTTAACTCATTGTATTTAATCGCGTAGTATTCAATCTAACTTATTATATTTCATTAAATCGTGTTTAAAGTAATTTTAAATTATTTTCAAATTTAAGCCGTTATTTCAAAATGACAACACTTGTAAATTTAACTCAATTATTTTTTTAGAAATTTAAAGTTGTATATCGGAATTAGCTATGGAATTTGCATCAAAGGTAGGTATCATTTTCAATTTAATGTCGGTATTAGATTTTTATTGTGTTAAGTCCTCAGCTCGAGGAAGCGAAGTTATGTGATGGTATCACAGACCTTCAATTGCAAAACTATCTTATCCCATATCTTCCGCTAAACATACTGGTAGACGATGACTTCATTGCCGGCTTCTGCCATAGGGGTTAGTTAGTCACTGTTTTATATGAATGTTTCTTTTGAAATTTATGCAGTGTTTTTATATCTTTTTTCTTTTATGGGGGTTTTTCCTTCAAATAGGTGTCGTGGACATTATTCCCCTCGCCCATCATAATGATTTGGAGGTTTATGTACGTAAAAGTAAGTTTCTTCTTTTCATATTTCTCATGTTGCGAACCCATCGATCCATTTATATTTGTTATATTTTTATGGTTATTCAATGCTATTTATTATTCTCTTAAATTTCAGATATGCTTACCATCAATATGTCTGCATCTGTGTATTCTGCTTTCGGTTTAGCTGGAGTAAAATTCATGTGCAACAATCGAAAGATGTATCGTAAGTTTCCTTTAGTCGGCAAGTAATTTTTCACTTTACTCGTGCTACTTAAATCGGGAAATAAGTAGCAAAAATATTCGAATGCTTAATTGTGCCAAATCTATTTTCTATATTTGTGTTTCTGTGATTATTGCACATAGCAAATTTGCCCTTCTTCGCGTTGATTTAAGTTCCTTTTCAAATTTCGATTTTTGAGCAGGTCGTAAAATTCTATTTTGCTGCCGGCAAGGCCTCTCCATTTGTTAGTCTTCCGTAGCCGGCCATCCTCTCCCACGCCTTAAACTAATGAGTAAGGAAAATAACGCTCCGGTGGAATAACCGGTGCCTTGGTTATATCCAACTCAATATTTGCAGGGCAAAGGCCTTCTCAGCGTGTCCTTCTACTTTCGAGGACGTGCTTGATGATTGTGGCCTACCCGAAATTGGATTTTAATAGAAATGTCGGATAAGCCTGTTGATAAAAAAAGAACTCATATTTTTTGGTTTCCAATTATTTATTTATGAAATAAGTAGACTCCCAACATTATTATATCAAATGGCAGGCGTTTTGATGGTTATTATTAGCCATTTAGTTAATTTCAGGTTTCACAGAGGGGAAGGAACATCAAAGTGAGATAAAGTCGGGAGGGGGGGGGGGGCAGAAGAGTTTTTCAAAGATGTAAAAGAAGCAGACACGAAGGTAGAAAAAGGTGAGGTGAGTACTGTGGAATTAGTCGAATATGACATACAGTGGGGTGATGGTAGTTTTAAGTCAGAAGTCAACTGCAGGTTTATAGACTTTTGCGTATGAGTATACGTTGCCAAGGGTAAGTCTATCGCACGCCTCGGTTTCCAAATATCAATTGTTTCTTAAAACGGTCTTTTTATTTTAATGAAGTCCTGGAGAGTATATGAACCTATATTGGCGTTTAATTATAAAAATATATAAATATGACGCCTTCATTAATGTCAGGCCTATGGATTCTTTGTAGCATAATGTTAAGCTTTTTTGTGTCGTGGATTGCGTTTGAGGCGGTTTTGCGTTCTTCTAACCCGATTCATCATCATATTTATTTACCAATAAGTTTACAGATTTCTAATTTCAACTTCACTGCCTTTTAACTCACTCTAAGAGAAGCTAGTTGGTCGTTCAATCTAAAGTCCATGTCCACCTTTTTCATTTTGAAATAATTTTCACTATCTAATATCAAATTTGTATAGAAACCGTATGCAAAACGAATGTATTGATCTTTTCTGCTTTAAAATTTAGCAACCCTTTAATTCACTCTAGCTTTTATCTATATGGCCATCAAGTCTCTTCATTTGACGATTTTATTTTGTTATTAAGGCTACTTGATAGCTATCTGTTCTAGATTAGCGAAGATTTGATTTCATTAGTATTTTCGCAAGTCTACATTTTACAACGTTCATTTCTAACATGCTGGATGTGGTCTCATAATCTAGCCTACTCTACGAAAACTTTAATGTTTACTCGGCTTATCTTTATGATGTGTCTCAATGGAGATCCATTATGGCCATTTTTACCATGGCATTATTATCTAATGTATATATATTTTCTAATACCGGTTAGACTTCAACATTCATCTTGGTTGGCCAACCTTCAAACGCAACGACAATGCCCATATGCGGCTGAGAAATTTTTTCAACAGTGATGAAGTGACCTCAAGACGTCCACCAGGTCCGTGTGTGGTTCGCTGGGCGGTGAATAAGAATATTGACTGGACTCGTGCGGAAAATGGAGGTCTTTCTGAGTCTCCTCATCCCTTCTCATTGGCTCGTTTCCTCTCGCCAGACTTCCGTATCGTAGGTTATTTCTCTTTGCATTGCAGTCAGATCCGTTTTTCTGCTTGTTACATGCCAAATACTTTGTCATTAAATGTGTAGCAAAGGGTCTAAATTAGCTGAATTGTACGCGACTTAGCAAAGAAAGAGATAGCTTCAAAAGGTTGTCTGAATTACCTGATTGTTTACTTGGTTGTTAAGTCTTGGGAAGAAGCTAGTTAGTTAAGGGAATGCGTGGAGGGAGCGAGACACGTAGGAGTTGGGGCCCAATGGAGATTGCATCTAGGTACTTGGACAGTTAAAATACCGCATGAAATTCTACTTGAGAATGTTAGATTAAGTGCACTGCGTCTAGGTGCTTGTCAAAAACTGGGTTTAGATGTTACACGACAAGCGTGTCCTGTACTAAAATCTGATATATTATTGATGCTATCGACAATATCCAAGATGCAAAATGTAGAGGAGAGTCTCCATTAAGGCGCATTATGCGAAAATGGCAAGTTAATAAGAAGGCACAATCAGGTCTTTTAGACGGGTGAGAGATGAAACATGTATCAGAAAGATCAAAAACTGCTATTAATTAAAGGGATCCCCTTTTGCCCATACTTTGGATTAGTTTGGGTTTGTTAGATTGCATGCCTACTTTCAAAGTTTTGCTTTACTAATATTTATTTATATCAAATGGCGGGCTTTGTGATAGTTATCATTAGCCCTTTAGTTGACTTTTGGCTTCAGAGAGGGGAAGGAACATCAAAGTGAAAAATGTCGAGAGGGGGGGGGGTGAACAGAAGAGTGTTTTAAAGATGTAAAAGAGACCGATACAAATGTAGATGAAAGGTGAGGTGAGTATTGTGAAAGTGTTCGAATATGACATACAGTGGGGTAATGGGAGTTTGAGGTCAGAAGTCAACTGAAAGTTTATAGACTTTTTTGCCGTATGAGTATACGTTGCGCAGGGTGCACCACGTGGAGGTAAGTCTATCGCACACCCCGCTTTACTGATATGTGCGTATATACTCGACGAAAATGGTAGCACGTGGGGATCTCTTGTCATGCCCCCCCCCCCATTTCTCCATTCGTAACTTAGGGCCAATTAGATCTCTATTTTCGTTTAATTTGCGGCCATGTCATAATTTGACTGCCCTCAGTTTGATCAAACTCCCCATAAAATTTATTTTGTTGAAATATTTTCAACCCACTGGAAGATTATCTATACTTTAAGTTTATGTCTGAGCTGGTAGGCATCAGTGTTGAGGTGACTTGCTTTACAGCAGTTATTTTTGTTCGCCTCTAGGCTATTCCTACAGTGGAAGTCTGCAACCTTGAAGCTGGAGCTGAGGTCCCACGATTTGTAGAAGTAAATCCTGAATCAGACCATCCGTCGGGAACATCTGTGGATCAAGAAGCGGCTCGTGCCGCTCACAACACCCTCCAACAAATGGCCCTTGGTGTCTACCCTGCAAGGTAACAATCACTCTCAACTACTTACATTCTGTTGAGTAGCGTGGCTTTTAACGTTTTTTTGTCTTAGCGATAGTTATATGCCCCCATTGAACTCTCGCCGTGGTTTTTCACCGGAGGATGTTATCTGTTTGCGTGGCGCGACTATTCTCACAATTTCTGGCATTTTCACAGTTGAGCAGTGCCAAAAGCTGGAGGAACTCCTCACGTAAGTCCGTTTGGGAAATTTTGCCAATGGATATGTCGGTCAAGTACAAATTTTTATCTATATTGGTTCATTCCTTAATTGTTTTCCTCACCATTGAAATCATTTACGGTTTTTGCTAAGTAATTACCTTTGGTTGAGTGTATTTTGATTTAGTTATCTCTCACGAATAAGAATGAAAGTGGGTTACTGACGCCATTTGTTCATTTTTATTTTAATTATTAGAAACATCCCATTGCACTGCACTTGGAAATTTTGTTAGTTTTATTTGCTATTATGTGCATTCACCTGCAGAATGGATTCATCCATTTATATAGCCATTAGAGCTTCCATAGTGAAATCAACAATTCAATTCCTGTTTTACTTGTAAGAGGTCGAATAACCAATTTCTTAATTAAACCAACTGGCCAATAAGGTGAGAATGTTGCAGATGCGAACTCGCCGAAGTGTATCTAATGGTCAAATCATGAATTATGGAACGCTGCGCAGTGCAAGTGGAGAGTTGTCGATGCAACATTAAAATTCAGATTCAACAACCCTCTTTTGATCCCCCAGGTTTCATTTAATTCATCTTTGTTTTCCTCTCTCACCCCACTTCATCGAGGAAGTGGAGCGCATAGTGAAATTTATTGGTCTCGATTGCGATAGGCGCTGTTTAGTTCATAATGCCTTGATGTTTTTTGATCGTTCTGTTCCGTCATGGCTTTGCTACAAAAGCGCCTTTACGGAATTTCGAAAAATTGATATTAAAGAGCGAGTGCTTAGGCTACTTGTGGAAGGGATCCGAATTTACTATTTTCAAGTGCTTGCCTCTACAATGGTATTATTTGCCAAAAGCTGCCATTGGCAATAATTATATTTCAATGGGGAAAAATTTGGCAGAAAGGCATGAGCATACATGGTTCATTACGGAGTTAACTTTTTTTATCGATGGCTATTGAGGAGTATGTTCATATTTTCTTTACGTTTACATAGTGATGTGGTACGCACAAGTCCGTCGGAGAATTCGGTGGCCTTTTTTGCAAGTTGTCAGATTGAATCGGATCAGAGTGCTCTAATTACGGAAAAGAAGAAGGAAAATCAATCGTCGACTGTCTTTTTCCAAAAACTCCTTGCCCCCGTCTTCACATCCTCCCGCCCACACGTGCTTGTCGTGGACTTTGCGGCTGACCTCACCTGCATGATCAAAGATTAGGAGGAGAAGGAGGGGAGAACATTTTATCCTAATAAACAGCTCTCTTTATGTCAATGTGCCGTTTTGTTTATATTATTGTAAATAGTAATCATTTATGGACACTATAATGGTGCCACTCGTGTTCCTTCTCCGAGAACGGGCAATCTCTTTGAGGCGCTAAATCTACTTTGGTTGTGGGGAATAAGCATATATAAATAAAAATGTATTTTCGCTCTTAGAAAATCCTAAATGCATCTTGCCTACTTGATTGTCAATTGTTGCTACAAAAGGCATTAATGTGGGGGATTTGAAATTGTGATATTTACAGGCATAAGTACGGTGTAACCCCTTAGCTGAACTTCTTCCCTTGTATATCGGATTATCGATTCGATTAGATCCACGCGCTCACACTTGAACGTGTAATACTTCCTGTGGAGAAGCCGTCGATGCAATTTTCTTTTAACCTGGCCCATCTGTTGGTTTCCAAGTAAACAAACTCGCATCTTTTCAAAATCATTACTTGATCTCTAGGAATTCAGAGGGTCTGAATGGCTGCTTTTATGAAAATATCCATCATCAAAAGTAGCCAAGAATGAGTGTTAAACTTAGATTTTACTTATCTGTATGCAACTCAAGGAAATATGTTTTATTTCAATTTAAAGCCTGTTGAAGCTTGGTCAATATTGGATGCAGATAGTACATGCTGTAAACGCTTTGTACGTCCAAAATAGTGTTAGATGAATATTACGAAAATGGTGTTTGAATAAAACAGTGGCTGTTTCGTGATCCCAATCTGGGACAATCGTGCCAACTCAACTAGGTCCTTTGACTTTGCTGTGAATGATAGTAAGAAGGTCAAGAGTCGATTGGTAATATTCAGGCCAGTTCTAAGATCGAATGCATTTTCTATTAAAATTAGGACAAAACTACTCTTAACGTTAAGGGAACCGGATCTTTTTGTAAAGCGATTATGGGAAATGAAAGGCTAGACAGAAGATAACAATTTGCAAATGAAAATTTATTTAAAAAGTCATTTTGATTCCCTTTCCTTTAAAAATATTCGAAACTTTGTTGTTTTCCCAATTCATTAAGATATTTGGACTTTGAAATGTGAATAATTACACCTTACGCCTTATCTAACGAGTTCGCTTGTTTATTGCAAAGTCCTAACAATTGCTGCCAGTAAAGTCGACTGAAAGCTCAAATTGAACATGACAACGCAAAATTTTTCCAAAAAGGAATCAGCAGTGCCTCAGCATCCTGACTCATTTCTATGCTCAATCGTTCTATATAATAGCTAATGCCTATGTTGTTCTAATTGTCAGAGTCATCAAGTGCTCAAGAACGCGAGAACGGGTAATCAACATTAGTGACAAGTGTGCATCCGTTTGTGACCTCACCAAACATTCATGTTCTGCTTTTATTTGGAATACGTCCAGTGTTCGAGACTTGTGGAGACTTCCCAGAAGACCCAAAGAGGAGACACACGAGCCAATCGGAGTTGCTTGTATATTACTTCCAGAAAGGGGACATCCAGCTTTATTTGCTCTAGCATTTAAAGTAGCTTTATAGCAGGGATATACACAACTGTAAATTACTTTATCGCTAAATTTTGCCCCTCGATGGAAGTAAAATCAATATCCACTAAGGTGTATATTTTTCACAAATGGGTTTCCATAAAAATTGAGTAATTCACATCTTCCTGTTCGTATAAGCCCCGATTCACCACAGCTCTTTTCCCTAATTGTTGCCACAGGTCATCGAAGAGAACAGAGCTAATCTGAGAGGTCCTCTGGTTTGCAGAAACCAAATTTGATTCCGAAGCTTGCTGACCTGAAAGAAGAAAGTGTCTCAATGCACGTTTTGTTTAAATATAATGGAAAAGTGGTAGTATTCTCACAGGTGGCTTTGCTAGATAGAGGTGTGGCTTTTCCAACCTCATGAAGTTCAACCTGTGTGCTCCTGTCCCGACTATTGGGCTCAACAGCCTTTTCCAGTTGCCACGTTGTGGTGTCCTTTCCTCTTTCAACAAGTCTAAGCTGTGTGCTCATGTTTTGGGAGTTCCCTTTAGCGCCTATTGTACTGTCACCGGTTTTCTTGAGCGTGTGATTGGAAGTCTCCAACGTACCCATGTGCAGCGGTGCATATTTTTCTGTGCTTTTACTAACAACCATTTTATTTGCTCCAATTGTCATTGCAATTCTATTTTCAATAATCTTATTGATCTTGGGTCTCGGACTAATTTTTTGTACTGATGCCAATCGCTGCTTCAATTCACCTAAATTCAGCGAATTCGGAATTGGTATTTGAGAGGAGAAAAGGGACGCTATAGAGAATGAAAGTTACTGCTCAACTAACCAATGCAGAGTGGATGGTGTTTTCTATAGTTCTCATTCTTTGAAATATTGTCCATTTCATGTGGAAGACCACACTTGACAGCAAACCTTCTTTCTGGTGACGTGCTTTTCCTTTCCCCTGTAATTGCTTCAGCCAGAATTTCTTGAATCCTCCCTGGTGATCGTCTGTGGAGAAGAAGAAGAGGAAGAAGACGCCGCATAAGTGGTATGATAAGAATCATGCCAATGATCACCCATCGGATTGTCATTGTGATCAAGGGTAGATTGAAGACGATGAGCACCAAAATGATGTCGCCGAAAGCTGAATGCATGGAGTAAATGTGATTTGAATAGCCTTACGCGAGACGCAATCCGGTGATTTGGTCAATATATTCACGATCTGCGAGTCACAGGATTCGAACGCGAATGACGAAATTTAGTCATAGTATGAGATAAAAAATGTCAGGAAATGACATCAAATTATTTAATAAAGGAGAAAATTGAAGACGAAGATCAGGGGATTCTGGTACCCTCTGAAAAGTAGGAAGTGAATTGTCTCATCGAATAATTGAAACGCGTGGATCCTCCAAACCAATAATGGGACCATAAATTGGCTCATTTGTAGTTTTTGCCATGCGCTAAGTGCAATTTAATGGAGGTGGAAAATCGGTAAAAGACGCCTTAAGGACGGGAGAGTGAAGCAGAGCATATTTAATACCATAAACAAATCGGTAGTAGAAGTAGTAAGATAGTGGTTTAACGCCGCGCACTCCCTGCCTTAAGAGGTAATGAAGATAATACACAGAATTCCCTTTGTCTGTGTTAAAAGGAAATTTAATAATATCAATTTCGGGTGTGCGATAGATTTACCTCCACGTGGTGCACCCTGAGCAACGGATACTCACACGGCAAAAGGTCTATTAACCGACAGCTGGCTTATGACTTCAAACTACCATGACTATCATTGTATGTCATATTCGACCACTTTCAGAGTATTCACCTTACCTAATTCTCTGCCTTTGTGTCTGTCTATTCCCCCTCTCGACTTTTACTGACTGAAGTTCCACCCCTCTGTGAAGCCGAAGTCAACTAAAGGGCTAATGATAACTATCATAAAGCCTATCAATTGAAATAGAAATGTCGAGTTTGAACTACTATTGATCTTAATGTACTGTGCTAGATAATATTCGGTTGTCAAAGAGGATAGGCTTATTGACTCATAGAACGTCTCAAGAATTCTTTCAATCTTTCCAGATGAGCTATTGAGACTTCTTAGCCAAAAATGTTGTAGTAGCTTAAACCATATGCAAAATGATTTGTTTGCCTACCTAAGGCCATAATCCTAGCCGAATATTATTTGCAACAAGGCTCTGTGTCTAAGTAATATAGCAACAACTGTAAACGACTTTAATATTGAGGTGTATAACAGTGCAGTATTCAATTCCAGTACTAAACAAACAACCTCAACATCACAAGCAACAGAGGTAGAGGGTAAAACAATCAGTTTCACAGATAAAAAATTTAATCGATTGAAAGGTCCATAATTCTTGGAGAAAACGGGGGGGGGAGGATTGGAGCGAGGAGCCAACACAGCGGGGGAATTCGACATATTTCATTCTTCTACTTCATTTCCAGAAGATGTTTAGAGAGCATTGTTGCATAATTCTTCATTTCCACATCCTCACAATTATCCCAAGACTTAAGCATGTCAGTCAACTGTCTTTTTACCGCAACAACAATCGCTAAAAGGCAAATTAAAAGACGGAAGCAATTATAGCAATATCCAGAAGTGGAACAGAATTGGGAAAAAATAATCAGCTTGAGCAGATACCTGGGTACTTCATCAAGACTTTAATAGTATCCAGTACTTGATCTCGTAGAATGGGGGCCTTTGTGTTATCTGCAAAGAGCCTCAATTTATTCACCAATTCTTTTATGCCGAGTATCTCAATCTGTTTGCTGCCTTTCTCAGGAACCCTCTTCAGCAACTCCTCTCCAGTTATTCGAGCCCTGGCGAGGAAAAAAGCGAATAATTAAAGATAGTCCAATCCATGTTACCAATAACAACATTGGATTAATAGTCAATTATTTCGCTCAGATTTGGCAGCATGGATGCAAGATATGCTAGCTCTAAGCTTCTTGTAGTCTTTATATTCCATATAGGGGGTGTGCCATAGACTTACTTCCATGTGGTGCACCCTGGGCAACGTACACTCATACACCAAAAAAGTTTATTAACCGGCAGTTGACTTTTGACTTCAAACTACCACGGCCCGACTGCTTGTCATATCCGACACCTTCAACAGTACTCATCTTACCTTTTTCTCTACCTTTGTGTCTGTCTGCCTCTTTCACATCTGTGAATCGCTCTTCTGTTCCCCACCCCTCCACTTTCTTCTACTTTGATGGACCTTCCCTCTGTGAAGCCCGAAGTCAGCTAAATGACTAATGATAGCTATCAAAACGCCTGCCATTTGAAATAAATATTCCATATAGGCGCTAACATTCAGCATTTCAAATACTGCTGTGGTCAAATGACTAAGAAATTCTGCCTGTCAGATTAGGCCAAAAGATATAAATCGAAACAGGTCCTGCGAACTTACTTCGAAAGCAGATTATAGATGCTCTTTAGAGCAGCACATTGAATTCTCCATCCCCCTTGACTCAAAAGATACACCAAATGACGCAATGTATCAACCAATCGATTGTCTAAAATGGCAAGAAATTTACGAAAACGAAGAGTTCAGAGAATAGGCAGTCAATATAAAACTCCGGCTTACTATGAGCATCTTCATTAGCATTCACAGGCCACATTAAACCAACAGCAATGATAGCTAATTCCAGCTCCAACTCAGGCAATTCTTTCGAAATCGTATACTCTGTCTGATATTGTTTGGATTTCTTCGATGACTGCTGTTCTCCACCTTCGAAAGCATTTGCAGGGATCCCGTTGGGGAGGATGATATGAAGAAGACGAGTAAGACGATCATCTTTGACCTTGCCCGTCTCATCAAATTCTGTCAGTCCAGTAGCGTCACGCATACTGTACTCTCCAAAGAAGGCAAGAGCGTAGAAGGCCTCAATTTGGTAGGCGACGCCGGCGTGTTCAGTTCGACCTGAACGTGTCTCTCGAGCTAGTGTAGACCACAGCTAAATTCCAAAGGACCAAAAGCATGATAATTGTCACAACAAAGGCATTTGACTGTCAACATGAAACCCTACTAGAGCATGATGATGAAATATTTGCAATGCTAACTTACTATATTTTTTTTTTAAATTAGCGCATAATGCCTCAAATTATTTATATAAAACACTATGAATTAGATTGTACTGCACTGTACACAATTCAATTAGAACTGCATTAAAACTTCGTAATAACAAAGGGAATCTGTTTTTTTCCTCGTCTACTTGAGATATCGACTTGTTGGGAGTTAAAGAAGCCTCATCCAAGTAGCAGACTCTTACCTCATCGACAATAGGCAAATTCTTCATAGCAAAGTTGTTCTTCGCTGTAATAATAGAAAGCACTCGCATTGCCCGAAGAAGATAGACCTGCAGAACAAAAATAGTAGATAGGGAAAAATCGAACAGGCTGGGGTTAAAACGAAAATTCCCCGCACCTCTACCAATTGCTACCAATAATATCTCATTAATCTAGTTAATAAAATATGAGCCCTACCTCGATTTACCCTCAGTAATTAACTTCATTATACACCGCCTTGATATCGGGTGCGTTCTTAGCCGGCTCACATACACCTTCAAACTATTTAAAAGATGTGCCTTCAAGTAAGTATCTTGAGCAGGAAAGCATTCTGGAGCCACTTAGATGAGAATTCCATGTTTTCGTACACTTCTAATGGCCAGTATCAACCAATACTGATTGAGCAGACATGCACAAGAACCACTACACCAATGGCTCGCTTTATTTAGATTAAGTAAACAGCGACGGTATTTACCCGATGAGGAGAATAAATTACGATCTCTACTATAGCTACAAACAAAACTACTACTTTTAGTGCTCAATATAAAACAAGTCTGAAGGAAAACAAGAGGAAAAGCAGGCAAACCTTTCCACTCCAAGTGCCCGTATCTCTGAGAGCAGCGATCAGGAGCTTTACTAGATCACACCAGACAATGAAAGTGAAAACAGCTCCTCCTTCTTCTTCTTCCCCATCATCATATTCATCATCATCATTCTCTTCGCTATCATCGTCATCATCGTTCTGCTCGAGCTCCTCGTCTTCCTCCTGTCGCTGCTTGTCTGTCTCTCCTTTCACTTCTCCAACACCGTCAATTCCACCCCCACTTTCGTTTTTATCAGGACCCCCTGACCCACTTTCATAGCCTGTTTGATAAGGAGAGAAGGATGGAGGTGATACTAACAGTAAGAGTAAGCCTAACCAAATGACAATCACATCAAATACATTTACACAAATCATTTAACTACAAAAACATAGTTCACTGAAACCTATAAATCACCATCAGCTACCCTTATGAGACAAATTAATTCAGATCGTGTGACAAATGATAACCCCAACTTCCTCTGATTGACTTCGCATGTGGTCAAGTGTTTCCCTGTGTCCATCTAAATAGTTAGTGATGATGTAATCCAGCCGCGACGCGGTCAATATAATTAATTACCAATACGCTCCAATGATCAACAACTCAAGTAAATTAGCTGGGCAATGAGCAATAAAAACTAAAGACAAAAAATTGAGACTCAGAAGGTTAGAGACTAGGTCAAAAAATGCGACAGACAACCCAGTAATTCAAGAGTTCAGGTAACACAGAACTGCTCTGCCTTAGGTTTCACCTCAAAATTAACTCCCATTTGTTTAGCAGCTTCACAAATTTTTACCATGGGTAATGGGAGGACGACACATTGCTTGTGTGAAATATAAATATAATTAGGAGAAATAGGGCAATTTAATAGTAACAAAAAAGCTTTTAGAATTTTATAAATACGTTGGCAAAAGTAACCATTTACAAAATTCACAAACTAAACAATCAAACTTAAATTGTGAACCTTCAGGCTTTGTATTGAAGCTAATGGCATAAATATCTTCAAACATAGTTTCTAGAACATAGTTTAAGCTTCAGATGGGATAAAGTATTTTTTAAATAAATAACATATTACAATAATCGGCGATGCTTTTAGTAGTGGTCTCTATTATGAACAAGATTATATACAGTTTAAAGATTTTCATTTTCGCTATGTCGTTATTGGATGCCATTAATGCAATCTCATTACAGTCCCATTATGGTAGCTGTCAAAATGACGCATTTAGACATCCTCTTGATCTTTAACTAGATGTTTACCAGGACTGGCCTTTAGATACTGAAGCAGTTAACAGAATGCAACAGTTTGGGCCTTTGCAACTTATATTAACAATAGCAGTTCATCATGAGATTAGATTCTTCTAGCATTCAAGAAAAATGCTGGTAACATTTAATATGACTGGATAATAAAACAAGAAAACGTCAAATACTCACCCTCTGACGGTTTGTCAGCAGCATCGGCTAGTTTAACTGTTTGAGTGACATTGATGGGATAAATGGGCATAGCATCGACGACATACACGAAGAAGAGAAGTGTCAAAGCAGCCTGATTTCGAACAAGCCAAGATGGCGACTTAATCAGGGCATCAGAGAGGGTGCTAATAAAGTTGCTGAGTATAGGCTGTCTGAATAAGTCAATAATCGAGTAGATAACTGAGGTGAACGAGGGATCGATTTGACTGATGACATTGTTTGACATCATGCCAGCAACAAAGTCTTCCACACGACCTGAAGGGTGTGTCTCGGACATGATCTCCTGCCAGAGAGCTCGCCGTTGTGTCAGCTCCTCTACTGCGTCATCGTCAAAAACAGCTGTGGCCGGCGTAAAGGGAAGACTTGTCAAAGTAGTACTTGGCGGCTCTCCTCCAAACATATCATTGGAAAAGCTATTAAGCTTTAAAACATCCTCACCCTGTTAGGGAGAAAGGAAGATGAGGTTATATAGGTAACTAACAGATGATAGTCAATCGAATAACTAATTCTTTTTCTTTTTATTTTCCATCTTGCTCTTAATCCATGACTTAGAGCATGATCTAGGTCTTCTCTTCGGTCTGGCACAACCCAATCCTTGTTCTCGATTGCGTCAAACAGATTTATTCAATACTTTTTTTAAAATTTTTGACTTTGGATAAATACATGCTCGTATTCTAACGGCTCAAGAGTGGAGCTTTAGTCATTCTCGATAACATAAGGTGAGTAATTGACATGAGGCAAGAGATGAACTTACCAGAGCATTAATAACGATCATTGGCAGGGTAAGACCAAGATGAGATTGAATAAGGTCGGGGCAGAAACGGGCAATAGCATGCATAACTCGGACACATGCCCATTGATTCGAGGCACTAGCAGCAGCTGCTGTGTGACTACCACCACCCGCACTACCGCTAGGAGTGCCGGTTTCCAAGAACCAGGAGCAAACACGTTGGAAAACCTTTGCAATGCTTGACTCCTACGCAAATGCGCACAAAGAAGTACCAGTTGATAAGAATTGAACCAATAATTACAAGAAAAAAATAGCAAACGGACAAACCTTCGAAAAACGCATAAGGAGGGCAAGGGCTTGGGCCATTTCCTCCTGCACTGTCATGCGACCAAGACTGTCCAAGTGTCGACCAGCAGTGGGCAAAGCACCGAGAATCGCGGCCATCAGTTTGCCAGTGTGTTGAGACAGAGCTGCGGAGACTGCCGAACGAGGCTTTGAAACATCCGACTCGCCACCATTGGATTCATCCTTCTTAACTATATATATATTAATAAAGGAAAAATAGTATTGAGTGTTAGTCGTCTATAAGTTAACACATAGTTTCTTCAACAAATTAATAGAGTCAAGATTTGCACACAAACGAATGACAAAGCGCAATATACCTAATTTACAAGATCGAAGAATGATCTAAGCTCGAATACCCTATATCATATCTAACGATCACCAAACTAACTTATCTTTCCATATTTTACCCCCAACTGAAGTTGCTAAAATCTATCGAATCCAAAAGTAAAATTTCCTTTTTCCGTTATACTCATATATGGTAATGTGAATGCAAATCTTGTGGGTACACGCTTATAGAAAAAAAAAACATTGGCAGATGATATAGAGAGGCGAACATAAATTTTTCAATTGGTAAGCGATAACAGGAAAGGATTTCCGAGTACCCGGCTTAAATGAGGGGGGGGGAGGAGGGGGGGAGTGGTAGGAACATTGAATATCTGAGCACATTGAAAGCCACAATCCCACAAGAAGCGAAATATACTATTGACTTTATAGCTCACCATGACGACTCGAAGCAGCTGTATTAGTGGTTTGCACCGAGTAGGAAGGCGCAGAAGCATGAGCAAGAAGAGAAAGGAAAGTGCAAGTGGCAGTTGCCACAGCAGCAGCAGAGTTTGCAAGTACACCACGTGAGCCACCTCCAGCACTACTGCCTCCACTACCCACAAGTCCACTTCCAGCTCGAATTAGATCAATGAAGGGGACTATCAGCACTTCCAGTGCACTGTCATCCATCAGGCGAACACACTGGAAAAGAGATAAAAGTGATAAAGAAGAGAACTAAATCCACAAGATCAACTTATGTGGTCAGTCATTGTTTTATTCTCTACCTTCATTGCTAGAGAATCTGAGAGCATAGAAGTCACTCAATAAAATCATAGCAAGACCAAAGAGAGGAGGTTACGTACCAAGCGCAAAACCTCAGCCATTTGAGTCTCCTTGGCAATTGGAGCGTTAGTACCAGAATTAGGATGCCAGCTTTGATGGTGGTGCTGGATACTACCCATGAAGGGACGCATGACACTGACAACACGAGCAGGATTGAGATACGCCATAGTGTGCAATCCCACCAGGGTCAAATGCGGAAGCGCATGTTTAAGCGAAGCGGGATTGGCCAATCTCGAAACGGCAAGCAAAAGATCCACACTGAGTGAGTGCGATTCTGAGATATCTCTGTGAGGAGGAGCCATAGAGAAGTTTGTAGAGATTGTCCGAGAAATGAGAATGGGGAGGAGACGAGGCAGGAGACCTGTAGCCACTTCTCGACAGGACGGGTCATCCAATGCTCGAATCATCAGCTGCAAACGGAGGGAGAGGTAAACATTATATAAGTACACACTAGGGAGGTTTGTAGCAAGGGATTGAAAAGACAAACCTTCTGGATAGCAGAGGCAGCTTTTTCAGCAGGAGAAGGGGGTTTTAAAACGACATCATTTATAGTGTTTGTACCACCGTCGACACCAGCATCGTCATCAGTCTTCTCTGCGTCGACAATTGCAAGTAGACCAGAGAGGAGTGAAGGCAAGTGGGCGGCGAATTGCTTGTAGGCGGACGGGTGCTCAGTGAGGGCCACGACAGCATGGCAACAGGCGTCACGCAAATTAGGGTCTGGTGATATGCTTGAGGAGGAAGACGGTGAGGCGGGAGATTTGGTAGCTTTCGTGGTGGAGGTCAGTCCCAATTTCGCTTTGATTTCACAAAGAATAGCATTGAAGTTGGCGTCAATCTACGGAATATAAAAAAACATAGATTTGATACTTAACAAAGTAATTATACAGTTCAGTGGAAAACAAATGGAGTAGCCTGTGCTACCTTTGGGTGAAATAGCTCGTGATGTAAGTCGGTGAGTAGATGGCCAAAATGAGGCTCATAGCAAAGCGGAAGATTGGAGACACCAATGATCGACGAATGTATATTAACTTGGATCTCAACAGCTCAATGTCATTATTCCATATTTCGCAATAATACCCTAAATCGACATTAATATTAGTCAACCGATTTTTATGTTATTTGCCATTTTATGTACCCGATTGCATATACGTACTTGCTTTCCTACTCGTCTTGCCAAAATTGCATACTGACTCGATGAGGGAGAGCAGTCAAATAGTTCATAGGCATTTTCTGCGTTCTTACTGACTTAATTGGAGTAGAGTTGACAATTGGCTGACACTACCTTAACAAGACTTAGTGTTAGATGCATAAAACTTGTGAAATTTGAAATCACCTTTCATAACCAGTAATGAGGGTGCTAGCCATACTTAATTTGGGAAAAAGTGAGGTATTTTGGAGTAGCGCTTTTGAGAAACTCAAGTTCGGCCATCTATCTACATGAAGGGATGTGGGCCAATAATAATAGATTTCGTGATCCCTAACTTTTCATACTAAAAAGTTGACAGGTGCCACAAAGAGGTCAAACTAACCTTCTACTTTATTATACTATAGAATGTTACAGTTCATATAGTCTTAGCGAATCTGAGGCAACTCTGTAAAGTGCAAGATTGCGAAAAGATACACCCAACTGAGAAATACCACATTTTACACTATTGGACATGCACTTCAATAAGTTTTTTCAAGTAAATCTGTTGTCGCTACTGCGTGCTTTATATGTGGTTGTTCTCGCTATGGAGATTGGGAAAAAATAGAGGAGGATACTTAGCCGGATAGAATGACTAGGGCCCAAAATGGGATATATAGCTTCTAGTTACTAATAAAGCATGGTTTCGAACCCAGAAATCGATTAGAACGGCTGGGTTACCCAGCAATCTAAGAATATTCTCCTTCTATGAGGCAAGAGAGGCTAAAAGGATACCATTAGGGAGCCCAAACAAATCACTAGTAACACATGAGTTGGAAAGGACTTTTAGCGTTACAGCAATCCTTTCTACCTCTAACTATTTACTTTCAGACTCCTACATATTCAATTACAAGAAGTGACTTTTTTCTTCTGCAAACTACATTTGTGGTTGTGGTAAGATCATAGTTAAGTACCTATTTGCATTGGTTCAACGAGGGCACTAGTCTGCGTGCTTCTCGACTGGCCAGCAATATTAAGTCAACTCCCAATTCCTCAGTGAAAGAGTGCTTACAATCACTCAATTAGCCAAGGTGACAAATGAATCGAAAATAAAGTTTAACCGACATTAGGGTTGAGTGTAAAAGAGAAATAAGTTATATAAGCACATCATCTAATGCACGCTTATAGCTTTCTCAAACCCGTTGAATGACCATAAACGAAGATCAGATTAGATCAAATTAAAGTCAAAACGCTCACCAACTCAGAAGCAAGGGTGTTAACAGATATCGTAGCGAGGTTACCACTCTCCCAAGTGGCAGCAACATTGGTTGGCGACGCAGTGGATTTCTCAGGCTGTCCTGTTGTCGAGGAACAGGCAGAAGAAGCCACGGCTGCTAGACTACTGCCTGCATTCGCAGAAGATGCAGCGCTAGCAGCATTTGGAGTTGCAAAAAGAATCAACGCTAGCCAGATCTTGTGCATAGCTGCACGCATCTTCGGCCTAGCCATATCGTAACGACGAATGAAGATACGTGGGACGAGGCGAGGCAGCGCGGGAGCGAGAGAACGTCCAAGACGACGAACTAAACCGACACAGGCCATTGAGCAGAGTGCTATGTACTGAGTAGCGAGGGAATTGCTACCTGTTGTTGAAGCGGTGTCAAGACTGATAGGACTGGAGAATGTTGATGAGGGGTTGGTGGTAGTGGCTAAGACCAGAAGTGAGAGGGTCATATCTTCACGGCCAATTTGATGAGCAAGATGGCAGAGTTCTCGGAAAACCGGGTTGGGCCTGCGCATACGAAAGAAGCGACAGCTTTAATAACAGTGAATGGGGAAGGTAGGAGAAAAGAGAAAGGAGCGTACCGCTTAGAGTCCAAGATAGACTTATTTAAACTATCGACTAAAGTTTTACGGGTAGTCTCATCGCTGCGATCATACATCAGGCCTAGTATACTGGCTGCCATGCACTGTAAAGCTTCTAAAATTGCAAAAAAGGAAAAAAAAGTTTAAGAAACTCAAATAATGCAAATATTAAGAGTTAACATTCATGGTAATTTAGTGCTAGTATGAAGCCAATGTTTAACCAAACGAAATCTGCCAAAAGATAGCTTAGGGGGAGGCATAGTTAACTTAGATTGAAAAGTTTTTGGTGAAACCTAAGAAAATGGACAAATCAACCTATTTAAGGTTTCCCTTGAAGGGTTTACGATTTCTGACAGATTAAGTAATAACAATATACCCGTTTATTTTTTATTATATATTTGCGAAGACTTGAACCATTATTATTCAACTCAAATGGAATGTAGTGTCAACGCTAAGCATAGCGTACTGATATGGGTCCATAGAAATCATCGCGTGCGTTCGAGCATTGCCAGCTTCGCATTCCCCTGATCTTGCTGAACTTGCGTGTAGATGGAGATAACGTTTTTAGCAAAGAGAATCGATATCGCTGCCTGTTTTGGCCATAAGGGTCGAACAAACCAGACACATCTGGGCCTTTATTATTTGCCTTTAAGTGGTTACGATGAGTCAGACGGAACGTTAGGATAAGATAATGAGATAGACTCTTACTAACAACATAAAAGCATTTTATTCTTTGTAGAACCTTGCCTATTGAATTTAGCAGAGGAACCCCATGGGCTATATCTTTGTATGTCATGGTTCCGCAAGGGCAGAGAGCAAAGGATACCATTAGCACTAGAAGGGAGATGCCGAAATAAAGAATTAACCCCACAAGGACCTATGTATAATCCTCAATGCTCCCACCCAAATACGCAAAATATCAACAAACCGTGATTTTCGGCAAGTAGATTTATGAAGAGTTGTGGGGGGAAGAGAGTGGTTGGTGGTGGAGTGAATCGTCGAGCCATCGAGAGCGCCCAAATGGCGACAGCGAGTGCAGTGGGCGGCGGTCTCACCTGGCCGGGTTTGTGAGTGAGGACTGTGGTGAAGCGCTCGGACAACCACTTGCCAGCCGGCGAATTGGCCACCGCCTCAGCCGCTGCCTGAGGAACGTACTGGGGGTAGGTGCGCTCGTACCAGAGACCCTTGTAGGGCGAAGCAGCTCCCAAAAGAGCATCTGCCATCGCTCCGCCTACAGCCAACTGTAGAGCTGGGTCGTTCAACTAAACAGAGATTAAGCAAAGCGTAAGAATATATCTATAAGGAGACGTGTGTTAAAGAAAAAAGCCCACTTACAGTCACCATTTTAGACATGGCTTCGATAATGTACATAAGATGCGGATGAGTAGATACATTGGTATCACTTTCAGGTTGCTCACCAGTACATAGGAAAGCGAGTGTGCGGAGAGCAGCAAACCAAACACACTGATGACCCGGCATGGGTGGTAACAGATCCTCATTACTACTTGCGCTATTTCCACTTCCCGCCTCAGCTGCTTTGATGACAGCAGGAGACGGTGGTAGAGTGAGGTAGAGGCCAATACGAGCCACTAGATTTGCCTTGCTCTCCCCACATGGTGGCAACGGATCTGTGGAGTCGATTTCAGGGACAGAAGAACCCGCGGGGAGGTTAGCGAAACAGCCTGCTTGGCCGAGAACTATGAGAGATTCAAGGAGCGCCGTAACTGTGTTCTGGGCGAGTGTGGGAGTGGCGTAGCGAACAACTACCTTGTCACCTTTATCTTGCTGTTGATTTGCCTTGTCCTTATAACCCCCAAGAGGTTTATCCATCAAGTATATCGGGCGGACAAAAAAGGGGTCTAGGGTAATAATACAATATTAGTTGGGTTTAAAAATATAATTCTAAAAATGAAGCCCTCCGTAGGGAACTTTAAAGAAAGGAGGTAAAAATGGCTCAATATAAACCAAGGAATTCGTTATTCGTCAGGTCACCCAAAGATGTAAATTGGACCTACCTACGATTTTCAGGAATTTTTCAAGGGCCTCAGTTAGATTGCCCTGCAAGTGTTGCTGCTTATTCTTCTGATCCTGTTTCTTTGATTTCTTTGATTTTCCACAAGAAGGAAGGTCATTACTATTAACAGCTGTATTATTAGTACCTAATACACCATTTGATCGAGAGGAGTACTTATCATGGAGATGTTTTAGCAGATAGGCGGCACCAAGCACCATCCCCTGAATTTGATGTGATGCCTCGATATCCACATTGACAGTATTAATGCCATTTGGTTTAGGAATCTTATCCAACATTCCAAGAGCTACTTGCAGAGCGTCCTGAGTCTGGTTTTCCACGGTGAAAGTAGCAACAATGGAGGCGCAGGCGTGGCGACAATTGGCTCCCCGTGCAGTACCAAGCAGAGAATTCTGAAATAAAGGACAAATTCCTAAGGTCAACTCACTGCAACCTCAAATGTCCACAAAATAACACATTATGACCCGAGCAAATAAATCCCAGAATCATTCATGTGACCATTTTCCTTAAATCAAAGATTAGAAGAAAGCCATCATATTTTATGAAAGACCTTCATGCTAAAGAAAAGGTACTTCGACATTAAGATTTTACCTCCAGAGACTGCCTTGCCCAAGGTGATAAATCAAAATAAATTCTGTGTATCCAATACAAGAAGTTGGTTAGCCCAAGTCTGCTACAATCACAAACTGCAAACGAATCACAACGAATCATAAAGATTACAATCATAATTAAGAAACTTACCATCAGTAGATTCAAGATTTCTTTGCCTTCTTCTCTTAGGGCCTTCGCATTATTTACTACGACCTCTTCCATAAGATTCGGAAATTCTGGCACTGTAAGTACGGAAGAAATAGTTAGAAGACCAAACTGAAAATTGAACTCACAATCCCAAGACGATTGGCACTTGGAGAAAATGACGTGATGAATAAGATGAAAGAACCTCAGGACACTTTCACGTGCCTGGTCCTGGTTGGGTACAGTGATTGCATCTGTTGATCCAATGACACTCTCGGCACCTCCCTTTCCTGATGAAGTCGGCGAAGTTGACGATTGATCGGACAGAGATAGCAGGTATCGTACGTTTTGATTGATTCGATAGCGGATTTCGTCGTCTGTTTCATATATCATCTCCTTTTCTTGAGTTGAAGTGAGTCCACCCTTTACTGCCAGCAGACAAAGGCGAATAAACTGCACAACCTACGGAATTAACATAACGAGGAGTCATTTCCATTCAGACAGCAATCTACTTGCACAACCTATAAGGACCTAATGAAGAAATGCTTGTGCTAAACACACTTCAGCAATAAAACCTAAGACACCCAACTACACCTATACGCACTGTAATTAATAAGTGCCGAGCTGGGAAGTGATCATTTCGTCAAACACCGAAACAACGCCTTACTCAACGCACCTAAGCCAAAAAGAAAGTGGGAAATAAAAGATTGACATTAAATATAATCTGATAAGCAGTCTATCTAATAATAGTAATTAAAGCCCTTTACATATTACTCCGATTTTCCCCTTCTTTAATTCAATAAATACTACTAATATATGTAAATAATGGTAACCCAAAAGTTATTATGCTTTTCGTGCCTCCTAGTTCAGGAATTTGTGACAAGGGAATAAGAATTCCAAGTTTGAGTCATTAGACTAACAAATGACGCAAGACAGTAGGAGAAAATTAATTTGGCATCTTTATAACAAGCTAGATTCAATTCACGCTGCACGAATGTTTATTCCCTCCTCCACTCAATTTAGCTCTTATTTTCTCTCTGTCTTATTGCTTATTGAAGTTCAATTTAGCACTGTTACCCACTCAACCCTCAATTTTATGGCGTAGGAGAGGTTATTGAATATTTTGAGACCATAGGAAGTTTTGTAAGGTCTATGTCTATTTCCGGTTGAGTAGGTGCGGTTACCCACAAGTAGCTCAGATGATGTAATTCGGAGCAAATTTAAAATGTCTAGTACGAGCTGTAGCACTGCAGAATACTATCGTATATCAGATCTATTACCACCTGCATCCAAATAGTTTCTGAGGGCACGAAATAAACAAACTTACTGGAGTCAGTCTTTCAACACCAAGATCAAGATTCTTCTTGTAGGGGTTCTGCAATGTAATCAAAGCAGCAAGTTAAGCCAGAGGCGAAATTCAAATGATAATCGAATTCAAAGAGAAGCTCACATTAATGACAAAATCGACAAAATTAGGCACTTTAACGCGTCCGTAGACAATATCAGTGCCAATTTGCGGATCAAGGAAGATTGAAAAAACTATTCGAGCCTCATTTCGAACTTTAGGATCTCTGTAATGCGCACACATGGTAGTAAGATAAAGAAGTCACAAAACGCTGAATTGTATTCAATCAACATACTTATCACCCAAGGCTTGGAGAATGAGGTACCGAGTAGGAATGTGGTCTGGAGGATAGATGATTCCAGCAAAGTGAACGGCCACCAAACGACTAACAGGATCCGGCTAAAATAAAGATCCAAAAGTGTTGGCGCATAAGAAAAAAACCATAGGAACACAGACAATGCCAGTCAATGTTATATATCATTAAGTTTTCCTATCCACATCTCTAGACCTGGAACCACGTAGAAAAAGCTCTAATTAAAGAAGCGACACACAAACAGGAGATGGTGGGAAGAATAGTTTGGGCCTTACTCTTTCCATATTGTCAAAGAGAAGGCGCTCTAATTTAGCCAGTTGATTCCGGAGAGCGGGATAATTTTGACGTTGAGCTTCTTGGAAAGTGAAGGCTAGACGTCGGAGGCAGTTAGCTGCAGCGATCTTCAAGTCTGCATCTATGTCCTGATCGGGGGGAATGTACGAATTAGTTTGTGTTACCAAAAAGATTAGTAGTAGTAGTAGTAGTGGATATGATTTATCCTTTTTCGTTTACCTCAGAAAGAACATCAAAAAGTCGAGGTAGCTGTGAGGGATCCTTTAAGAGGTAATTGGGTTCTCGAGATAAGAAGCGCGAGAGTAGTTCGAATCCACGAGCTCTTGGCTGAACAAGCTGAAAATAGAAAATTAGACAAGGAATAATTACACCTAGACAAACGGCTCTAGCAATAAGACACACACAAACACATCATTTCAAAAGCTGTAAGACACCGATTTTGTTTCATTTTAATACAGAAATCAAATCCGATAGGAGAGATTAATTTTTAAAAAAAGCTGCTTTGAAAGTGAAGTTGAATAAAACAAATAATCAGGCTTCATCATTTTGAAAAATACTAGAATTCGATTAATTTACTACTTTTAGTTCACAGAAAGTGTTGAGAAAATAGCACTGCGACTTCATTTATACAGAAAATGATTGCGAACCTACGGTAGCAAGAGAAATATTGGAAAAGAATCAAATGACTTCTGATGGGTAAAAAAGGACGCCGATCTTCAATAACAAACCGAGAAGAAGATAGCAGAACAGTTTTTAGGCTATTTCCAGAAATTTTATTAAGATTGGTATTAACAGAAATAATTAAATTCAACCTGCCGTCGACGAAAAGACAATCTAATTAAGTCGGAGTGGCACGATCAACTAAGGAACTAAATCAACCGCTCTGTATATTGTGAACGTCATATCAGCCATGAACGATAGTCAAGTAAAGTCGTTTCTGAAAAAAAATCTCAATGCCTTCAGATTCTAAAGAACTTATGTAACTTGCTTCTCAATGTCCACTTCCCAAGTTTAAAGGTCCATTTCCATAAATGATACCCGATAACTAAAGCTAATAAATAACTTGTTGTGTTATACGTATCATTAATCACAATAATAGGGGTATGAAAATTTAGGAGTTACTAGTTGGTGTCAAGGTAAATCTCATTACTTTGCTAAGGTCTTTCTTTCAATCGACTTAGGAATTGCTATTTTTATTAAAATTAAATCAAATTCAGCAAAGAGGACATGGGTACCGATTGAATGATGTCCCCCCCCCCCCAAAGTTAAATTTGAGGTTGATTTAGTACCCAGTAGTTCAACAAAAACAATACAGAATGTAATTTACTTAAAAGATTGCAGATAAAACCGGAATAAAAAGGCAATAGAATAAGCCTATATCAATCCTTTGAACTAGTCCGTGAAATGCCTTCTTTCTATTATTAGTAATTAAAAGTGAAGTAAATCATTAATAAGAATAAATTGGAATAAGTTGACAATTGACTTACTTCGTCCGAGTTGCTTTCGTAGACGAATTCGATAAGACCTCCAAGTGCACGAATGGTTGCCTCTGTTGGAATCGACGTAGCACTAAAACATATAAGATGTGAATGTAAGAAATGCAGAACAAGCACATTATTAGGATTTGAAAGAGCGGTTAACTGATCAATTATACTAGTCTAATTGTGTTCGGAAAAGGAAAAGCGCGCATGAGAAGGAATCAATACTATCAAATACTTGCTTTCACACGCAATGGTGCACGAAAAGGAAATAATTAAATTCCTTGAAAGTACAGTCAACTTTGCTTTTGGTGGGTGGACTGGAGTGTTTATTCATGTTTACAACCGCTTCCTCTTCAAATACTCCTTTAAAGTGTCACTATCAGATGAATTTGAACAGCGATTTGCAATAGAACAACGGTTAATAAAACTTTTGACAATAAGATTGCGATTCATATGTATCGAGAAGGCCAATAGGTGGAGGCAAAAGGATGGCAAATATAAAAACATAAACCCGTGTTCATAAGTTTGAGATCGTCATCTTGCGCATGGTTTCTTTCTTTTCTTAACTTTCGTTTCACACATTTCCGTTTTAGAGGAGTTGAAGAGTCGGCTCCCCACTAAATCAAGAAAAAATTGAAATCGATGGAAGCCAGAGGCAAGAGCACGTATGAGAAGTAAAGATAGAAAACGCATGTTAGACAAAAGTATGGAGACAAAATCATGCAATTGATGTAGACAAAAGCGGGATTGTACTCCCACAAAGCACGTAGTCAAAATGAGAGGTTCTGTATGAAACAAACAAGTTAATTAACATTACATTTTTATTCAAAAGTACTAAATGCAGAATATCATGAAAAACGCCGTACTGAACATTGAGTATTTCACATCAGGTGGTGACGATGAACTTCGATATACTACTCGTTACATTTAAATTCTATTTGTCGCCTTTATCTTCAAAAATGAAATTGCATTAAGGCACGTCTTTTGTTTAGATCTTTACATCTCGAGATTAAATTTGGATTCGACAAACCAGCTAAATTTCATCTGATGCTTTTTTGGGGAGAAACGAAGAAGAGGAGAACCATGACAGATTACGGCACATAGAGACTTGGAAATGGAAGGAACTCTTCACTTTTCAAGTAAACGTATAAACAAATAACAAAATTTATGGAACAAAACTATCACATTCATTTTTCTCATTTTCACAGAAGGACGAATACTTAAAAATCGCCATAATTCAATAATGGCAGAATTTTTAGCGCCAATTGCATCAGGTGCAATTGTTCATTTTTAATCGACACTTAAGTTTCTTACGTAAACAGCAATATTTCAATGAATTAATGAAATAGATAAAGAAAGAAAACTTAAATGATTTTGAAATAAAATAAAATAAAGGTGTGTTGATGGCGACAATGAGAATTAAGGGAGTAACGACTCACGTTAAACGCTAAATATCAGAATTGCAACAATATGCACTGTGACTTAATTACAGAAATGAAAGCAAACGAACTTGTCAAGAAGATGAGACATTAAGTCTAGACCGTGATTGGCAAGACGCCGAAGAATATTCGCCCCCGAACGGAAACTACACGTGGGAGCCCCAGGAGCCGTATTGTTCTGAGAGGAAGCTGAATTTTGGCTAACAGCAGCAATAGGGGACTGCAACTGTTTCTGCTGTGAAGGCGGTGATATATTTTGATTGTGTTTCACATCACCCAAGTACATGTTTTGCTGTTGTGTTGTTTGCAGAGACTGCTGAGCTACAGGTGGATACTGCATGGCTGCAATCGCCGTATTACCGGCACCTCTTGTAGCCAGTCGGAAACTCAGAACGTACTTCAGACAAGCGACCCCAGCTTCAACCAAGTCGGATGCAAGTACTGTTGGAAGAGTTAAACGGGATTGGAGAAGGAAGTTGCCTAATTTCATTCGTACAACAGGAGTTAGAGGAACTCGTGGCTCAGACAAGCCCTTCGGATCAAACTCTCTTCGTCGACCGAGATACCAGTCGAAAATCCGAGAAAGTAGTGCCTCATTCTCCCAATCAACAAGTCTATTTAAAAAAAACATAAAAATAGAAATGGCATTAGAAATAAAACTGAGCATAAAATTCACGCATTTAACTAGACGGCGATGCAAAGTAAGATTTCTAAGTCCGTTAAAAAGACCAGATTTTTTAAGGAAAGCGGTGGGAGCATATCTAGTATCCCATATTAAAGCTTCCTTTAGGTAAAATTAACTTACACACTCAGCATTCGAACTTCTTTATTTGCGACTGCAATAACCGAGTGCATTGTATCGCAATCGGCAAATATCAAAGGGAGAATACTTTCATCCGGAGGGAAAAACCCGCGGCTGTAGAATTGCACAATGGAGATTTTGTACTGAAAACGAAGGCAAGAAAATATAGAGATATGTACCACGAATTGGGGATTGCGTAGATCAAGTTAGTGACTAAGATACCTTTTCAAGCATTGATTTATCCTGAATGAGAGAAAAACGTTCATGAGCTACTCGACTGTAATCATATGAATTAAATCCATCGGGAAGTAAAACTCCAGGATTATCAAATCGGATATGCCTTTCGAAACTATGAAGTATAAAGACATAAGGGGAAGCCTACTGATATGGAAGAAGGAGAACTAGAGAGTAGAATTCGTTTATGTATCTTCGCTGCAAAGGAAGTTCGTAGAGTTCCAATTCTTGGCGATTTCGAACATCTGCTGGTACACCACCGACGATGGGGAGCGTTAAGTGCAAAAGGCTGAAAAAGTGTAAAACGAAAAGAAAAGCGCTTACACGTCCCGTTGAACTACGGGTTTATTTTCTGTGAGGGAGGCAAACAAAACGGGGAGGAGACAAACTTGTTCATTAGGAGGCAAACGGGGAAACCCCAAGCGAATATACAGGTGCGAAAAGTTTGCAAGGTAAGTTGAAGGTTCAGGAGCATTATAGGCAACAAAAAGGTCATTCACGGGAAGCTGGATATTATGTTGTCGTTTTAGACGACGAATTACATCACCAAGAAGTTCAAGGAGCTAAAAATTATAGATTATATCGGGGATACGAACCTTTTTTCGGTGTTCTTCATACCTAGCCAAACAGTGTAATAAATAGACCAATGACTTTTGGACAATGTTTTCGAACTGTGCATCCGATTCAGCGAGACTAATTCGTAAAGCGAGACGCTCAATATCGGTGCCTATTTTATACCAATTATACAAAATTTTCGTACCAATGCGAGCAGACTCAATATTTCCTGGATAAGGTGCAGATAATAATCCGAAATTGTCTTCTGCAGAACCCATCTGCCTTAATATCTACTGTACAAAATAGAACAAACCGGCCATGCACAAATTGCCTCAAGCAGCGCCTTTTCTATTGGTTTATTTCATTTCTATTAGTAGAATCTAATTTGATTAGGCTAGTATTTTTTGATATTTTTGTATTATTTTAAAGCTATTTTTATATTATAATCTTTAATGGCTACTAATTTATTGTTTGAATCTTTGAATTTTAAGTACACAAGTACGATGATTTTTGCTGACCAATCAAATGCTTCTTTGTAAGCATATTACGTGAATGTATTTTTTAGCATTGCTACTCGCACTTACGTAGTCTTTTATTTATCTTAGATAATGAATAGCATAAAAATATTTGACAAGGACGATTCTGCCTCAGTAGACCTTACTAAGCTTGCTTCGAAACGCTGGAATGTCGATCTAGTAGCTAGAAATCGCATTGGATTAACCTCAAATATCCAAAATGATCACAACGTCCATCCAGTTGGATTTGTCGATCGGGCTTTTCCCATGACAGAAGCTACGGAACAAGATCCTCAGCTGAAAGTTAAACGCAGTTGGGATATAGCTCTTGGTCCTCTTCGACAGCTTCCAATGAATCTGTTCTTCATGTGGATGACTGGCAACTCAATCAGCATTTTTCCAATTATGATGGTCTTCATGATGTTTACTCGTCCTATAAGTGTTCTCTTGTCCCTGCAAACAAGTAAGGAATTGTCTCTTAATTACATCATTTTCTAACTTTCGCTTTTTTCTTTAGCGCTCAAAATGATCGAAGGAGACCAAGCAGTAATTCAATGTCTAGTTTTTATTTTTGGTAATCTTCTGGCAATTAGTCTTGCATTGTATAAGTGTCATAGCATGGGATTGCTTCCAACTTATGCTTCTGATTGGTTATCATTCATACAGCCTTCACCCGTAGGTGTCAGTTTTGTTTCACTTTTTCTAAATTTTTTATATTTGTAACAAGTTTTTTTTTATTTAAGAGAACTGAATGGTCTACTGGAGGGTTTTCTCTGTGATGATGAAATATGATTATCTTCTTTGCTTAACTTTGTTGCAATGTATGCTTTTCCTTCAGACATTCATTGTGTTGTTTGTTAAAATTCTCCTATTATTGGGAAAGGTATTTACGCGTTGTTAGTAGCAGTGTATATACTAAGTCTCGAGTTATATTAGTCTTTTAAGTATATCAGACTCGCTTGCCGATATTGGCATTGCTTAAGATGTTGAGTCGCACTATTTGTTATCTTCCGATATCAGTTTTTCTCATATCAATAATCGAGATCGCTGGGGTATCCCGTTTCTCTTAATACCTTTGGCTTCTTTCTCGTATGAATCATTTTCTACTAGACAACACTTATTGCAATTATACTTGATTTACCTTTCTTTTGCCTTATCATCACCACGATAAAGTGGGGAAGAGAGGCCGCTAGTTGGAGAAAATTTTGGGGTCTATACACTTAGGGCGTCTGTTAAGATATCTTTTAGCCTCGATATTCTTCCTCTTGTGGCTTATTATATGCTGGGACGTTTTTCTTACTACCAAACTGCCTTCTTCCAGCCTTGATTTGTGGCGACATATCTCGGAGGCTATACCTTAGTCGTGTCCTATCATACGAGTTCTAGGTAGGCATGATATTCGGATTGATATTGTATGAGGTTGTGTCGTAGAAAATAGTGGTAAGAAAAGTTGTGTGCAGCAAACAGGTGCACTGCTTCACATATTTTGGAATTACCATGGAAGCTGTAGTCCGCAATATTTCTAAGCAAAATAATAAATCATAAGTCATTGATCCATTTTAACATGTCCGAACCTATTAATCAATTTAAAAACATGAGCTTAATTGGATCGAGCCTCTGTTACTACTTTTTCACAACAATACCAATGCTGATAACGATAGATTTAATGCTACGGTAGGGCCGAACTAGAACTACGTTTTCATAGCTTCGTGAAATATAGTGCCGAAAGTGTTAAGAATTTCGCCCATGGGCCGGTAGTACCATATTATCTCAACTGTCGTACACTAAGTCTTTATTCAAGTCTGTGGAATCCAAAGAAAAATTGAAACAGATTTCGCTCAATGATTCAGTCAAAAAACCGACAAGAAAGCCAAATATGTGCTTAGTTTCAGCACGCGTTTTATCTGAGATAGCTTAAAACCAAAATTTCTGTCTCCAATAATGTATGTTCCTAACTTAAGCTAATTCGAGAGAAAAATGGCGGACTATTCTTAAGAAAGGAGGGGGGGGGGGATAATTAACAGCATGGAGGAACAGGGCAAACTTTCCTGTTGAAATGCCACTTACCAATGCACAACAGTTTATGTCAGCCTGGGATTCATTACCAGGATAGGTGTCAGCATATACGTTCGGCTGAGAAAAGTAGAGTCATTGACGCCACATTTCGTGGGCCAAATATTCCTACTGTTTTCCCAATTATTCTCGCTATTGTACCATGAGCAGACGAATATATATAGTTGACTTTATATATAATATCATGGTTAAAATAGTGCATACTGTTTCAAAGTAAATAAATATCAAGCATTATTTAATATTGAATTATTTTGGCACTATTTTATTGTCTGAAATAGCATAATTGATAAATATGAATAGCCCTGTATCCAAGATAAATAGTATAGCTGGTGTAAAGTGTTAGAAAGTGACTATATATTAAAACTCAATAAAGCAAGTCCGAGAGGTCCAATCAGAGAACCGTAATTAAAAACCCCATTTCTACCTCAATTTCCCTAACGGTGTAACAAACAGTTTATAAAATTGGAATTATGTCTCCGAGTTGACTGTGAATTGACGCAAAGTAATATGGTTGTTTGCTTATGTTGAGTGGAGGGGGTAAAAATCTATTACTTGAATCTTTAATTCCAGTTCCTCACGATGATAAAAAACCACTCTTTGGAATTAGGTAAATTCTATTTATCATAGTTGAGATTGCAGGAATATAAATTACATTTTGAGAGATTAAGTCCAATAATAATCAATAATGCAGTTATTGAAGGAAAGCAATATTATTTATCACAATCTCAATTTTACTAATTTATCGTTCTACAACCAATAGGCTCGCAAATAATTCACACGTCCTTGAAACTGATTGCCCAATTATATCGGAACCTTCCCTTTGGGCCTAGCCTATATTATTCGCTTCACAAGCCTATACTTCCACCGTAATGGATTATAACCTACAGTTCCAGAATTTGGTTGCTAATCACTCTTATCATACATTCGAGCAACTAGAAAATGCCCTCAAAGAATTCACTCAGGTATATTAGTATTCGACATTCTTTATATTTTGTAGGCCACCGAAAACCAATTTGCACTTAAAAAGAAAGTTCGTCACAGAAACGGCGCACCCAATCGGGAAACACACAAATATCGTTACGCATTCTTCAAATGCATTTGTTTCTATTCTACGGAATGCGAGGCATTCTTTAATGTGGCTTCTAGAGGTCAATTTCTCCGCGTTACTCAATACTATATGGTTCATAATCATGCTGTGGTCTACAATCCCGCTTTTAAACAATACGAATTTGATGGTATGAATTTAATTCAACGTATTTATGATTTAGTTGACGATGGTTATGACGTACGATGCGACCTAACTGTTCAATTTGAACAATTATTCCCCGAAAAAGCCTTCGATACATTCCAGGAATTTCTAGACAAATTAGAACAGTTCCAAAAAGTAATAAATGTGTTTTATTAACATTTTTCACAGTTAACTGGTTGCATATTCGTAAAACGAAATGCGGATCGATATCCGCCTGAGGCTGTTGATAAGCAACATCTTGTTTACAAGGCTGTCAAGATGGAATGCGTTCATTACGGACATAGACAAGATTCAAAAAAGCAATCACATGCCAATTTAAGGTAGAGTTGATTACTTTTCAAGTAATCACTCGTTTAGGATAAGCTGTAAGATTGGTTGCCGATGTTGTATTCATATCTCAACTTACAAGGGTCGTGTTACAATTGGAAAATATTTTATGAAACACAACCACCCTGTTCCAATCGAGGAAGCAATTCAATATCCTCAAGCAACTCACTTATCGGCTGCCGGCGAAGTTTCTCGTAAGTTGTATGTTTGTTGACTTTTAATAGCTTCGCCAAACTTAGAGTATAACGTGGTCTATGACGTAACTACTCAGTTTGTGGAGACATTCAATTCTGGTCGTTTTTCTACTTATCAGGAGTTTTTGGAAAAGTTGGAGCAATTTCAGAGGGTATGCTTTGTACCCCTGAGTTTTTTACTTTTTTAGGAATCGGGTTGTTTGTATAGCAAGCGTATGTCGAATATGTGGCCAGCTGAGATGAAAGACAAGGAACATCTTGTTTACAAGTTTGTTATTTTCGATTGTGTCCATTTCGGGTATACGAGAGATAATAGCCGTCGTAGATCAACACAAAGAAGGGCTGGTTTCTGGTACGTTAATTCTTTCTTACTCTCACTGCTTATGTAGCTTCAGAGGGAAGGTGGGTTGCAAATCAACTATGCGTATATCGTCAATCAAGGGATATGTGGAAATAGTTACCTACGAGATGCGGCATAATCATCCTGCCTCACAGGAATCTTCCGATGAGTACCAGCCTCAAACCTGGCTGCTTTCAGGGATCAACGTTGGAGAAGACGAAAGGGCATTCAAAAGGCGACGACGTTCGAAGAAGCAACTACTTGAAGAAAGTGCAGCAGCAACTGAAGCACAGAAGATTGCATTAAATACCGGTCCTATTGATTCTATTGAACTGCCAGCAACCACTGACATTATCTCCGCTCAATTAATTAAACTTAGAGAGGTCGCTTTGTCCGCACCTCCTGACAAACTGGACATCTTTTCTAATCAGTTGGCAAAATTTGAGAACCGGTGGCGGCAGAAGTTGGTGATGCCTTATCAACAAGGCGTCTTTCAACAACAAATGCAGCATGAGATGCCTCAACAAGAACAATCACATCAACTGGAAATGGGAGAAGAAGAGCCAACTAAATCGGAGGGTATTCCTGACCCAAATGCATCGCCTCCAATTATCACTGTCCAACCGGGTGTTAAATTGGAATCGCTCTAATCTACGAACTATCAACTTTGGTGTAAATTTACGTATATGTGCGTGTGGATCTGGTTAGATTAGAACCGCACTTTTATTTTTTGTACATAATCTAATATCGTATGAATTTTACTTCATATAGCTAGTCTCTCCCTACCTTTGTGGTCCTGAAAATTCCGTGAAAGAAATGTAGACTATTTGCAACTGTCTTTTTTAGTTTTTCGGAAGTTGAAGATGGGTTTGTTATGGGACTTGAGTTAGCTTGTGGCGTGCTGCATTATTCACTAATTTTATGGACAAGATTACATAGTGTCAACGAATTATTGTAAGTCAGTTATTTCCATTTCATGTCTGCTGTTCAACTTATTTAATTCACATTAAATGCGAGGTTTTGAGTAAAAAATGTTAGAAATAATAAATCAAATGGACTAATCATTTGTTACTAAATTTCTAAAAAATTTTGTTTAAGCTGTATTGACCTTGATATTGAGGCGTCTAAAGCCCCGCATTTATGAGCTCCAATAATGTCAGCTTTGAAATCGGATCAAAAAGTTTCCTTCATTTCAAACTATCTTCATACATCTTTTAAACTGAAAGAAGATCAATGGAAACGGTTTATAGAATCCGAAAATGGGAGGATTTTGCTGAAAGAATTTTTGGAATCATCAGATATGCGAATAATTTTCTTTTCCCTAAATCAAAGTGGTATTCTTACCGCTAGCAAAAGTTTGCCTACTAAAACTAAGCAGAAAATATGCTATTTTATAAATGCATTGTCTAACAATGGAAATGAAAGTCAAATATGTTTTTTGGATCTATTATGTGGTGACTTACACTTTAATTTGCTTAGAAGTGTATCATCCTTCTTACAGAGCGTAAGTTGTTTTAGTAAAATCATGTTCAAGATTTTGCTTCAAATATTTTCAAATAATGATGAGAAAAGGAGCACTTTAGGAGCTCTCTCTGATGAACTCATACCCCTCACTAAATTTCTGAAAAGAAAAGCAGATTATATAGAGGGGCAAATAGAAGGCACAACTTACCTTACATTGCCAAAAATTGAAGACCTTGACGAGTATGTTATTCTCATATTCCTAAGTTCGAAATAGTTTATCCCTCTCCAATATTGAAGCGATAGTATTCGAATGGTCGCAAGTAATTCATAACATTTCAAATCACGAGAGGATTCCATCAGAAATGCTGCAAACAACCTCCTCACCTAGGACAGAATTAGAATTTTGGTCAAAACGGAGGGAAGATTTACTGAGAGTTCATGCCGTTCTCAATTCAAAATCTATAGTAAAATTGACTGATGTGCTGCAGTATCTTGGAAGTAGTTATTCAACTACTGTAAGCAAAATGAAAAATAGTATTGACTCAGGTAAGGTCGATTCTGTTTTCCCATGTTAAATTTAGTCGTTCACGAATCTGGAGAAATGTGTATATATTTAAAACCATTTGATCGAATTTTCAAAAAGATTGAGGAACTGGAATTCGAAAGAATTTCCATATACTTTGCACCTCTTTTCCATTTATTGGCACTTTCTTGGATCAAGTCCGAAAGTTTCCGAAAACCATCTCGATTTATTGTACTCTTACAGAAAACCGCTAGTGCTTTAGTTATTCAAACAAAGAAATACTTGGAATCAACCGAAATTCTTAAGGGTGAACCGCAGGAATCTATTGAAAAGGTTGATTTTGCACTAAAGGTGCTAGATACCTTCTTTGTGCAGTTCAAAACCACTAGAGCCAAACTTCCTGAATATTTTGCTAATGAGGGAACTCCACTAGTTCCTTGGGATTTCAATGCTCGACTGCCTTTTTCTCTGCTTGTTGGGACAAATCGTCGACTTCTGAAAATCAGGGTACATATTAATTTAACCACAGAGGAGCAAATAAGCCTGGTTATTAAATTTTTTCTTTTTAACTTTAGGAAATTTTGAGCTTAGCCATAGACTTCAGCTATTTGGAAAGCATTGTGATTTGTGGGGTGATGGGCGCTTCACTGAGCTCCGATATTTCAAAATTGTTTGAAGAATTCACTGAAAACTTTAAGGGACTTGTTCAAAAAGATTACAATTGTTTGGACTTAGAGTCAGTGGAATTTAAAAAGGAATTGCAGGATATTAACGCCAAGTTTGAAGATTATCAGCAGCGCTTAGGGAGTGTGTTTTGCCAAGCCCTGAATGGATGTCCCACTGCTCAGCACATTTCCAAGGTAATTTTCGTGTTTTGATTAGTTCAATAAGCACCGACATAAATCTTTTAAAACAATGCTGAAAAAGAGATGCCAATAGAAGGTGAAATGAATAGAAGAGCTTCAACACTTTAATTTGTACTATTTTTGTTGAAACTACGATTTTAACTTAAATTAAGTCAGCCAATCAAACAATAAATTCCTTGGTGTGTTGGAGTTACTGAAAACCCAATTACGCCAGTTATGTTTAAAATATCACCACAACTTCAGAGCTGATTTATCTTATTGAAAGCACTTTTAAAGTCAACATATTTCTATTCTATAGAAGCTGTACTACTTAAATATTATCTCTTCTTCTAGATGTTAAAGGTCTTTGGAAACCTCCTTTATTGCCCATTAATCAAGCCCATGATGGAACCTTTCTATGACAGAATTTTGACTACCGTAGAAGGGGAAATTTTATGTGTTAAAAGAATCATCAAACAAACTGCAGTTGGAAAATTCATCGAGTCCAATTTGGGTAGGTTTCTTTTTCGTGGAGGTTCGAAATTTAATTAATATAGTAGCCATGCCAAAAATGTACCATGTCATAAGAATATGTTAGTCGATAACACAATGTTTTGAAAAAAAACATTTTAATCACCGTTTCAAAACAGCCACTGATTCATTAATCAATTAAATTTATTCTTTTTTTCAATTTAAGCAGCACCAAGAACGACAAGAAGTTCAAAACGACCGGCTCCTTCACCTCCAACCATTCAAGAAAATAGAGGTTATTATTTGCTAGATTTCGATGATCCGCATAGTAATGTCATGACATTGGAAAATAAAGTTTATATTAATCGTAATCCCCTTATCCTGGTGGACTAGGATCCTTACCGAAGAAAAATAGCTAATTTATAAACTGTTTACCTAAAATATGTTTTAAGTTACACATTTCGTAATCCCATATGCTGTAACAGTGTTCAACAGCTTGGCTATGCATTTACGACATTATTCGCTTTCTCAACCAATAGAGTCTATGAATTTTCATTTTGAATGGAATGAGACATTGCGTTTTTTAAGTTCATCTTTGAAAATTTGGCAGAGTTTCATATTTCATTAATTTTATGTTTTAAATATTAGATGAACTCCGTTCAGCCAAAAGCAGTGGACAGCTCCATTGACTGTGACCTCTGATGAAAATAACAAGAAAATTAGTTTAGAATGCAATCGTATTAACAACTCTCAATATTTTCCATCTCCTTAGGCCTTTATAATGGTTCTGACTTCCCACTTAATCGATGGATTTCTATGATTTTAGTGTGGTCAATAAAAGTGTAATTCATTAAGACCCTTCAGAGGATTACAGTTAGCCGAAAATCGAATTTTCAGCATCAATTGATACTCATAAGTTAGCGATCCATTATTTGCCTGAAGGGGAATAGGAGAGTTAATCAACGTTAAGTTAGTTTAAGGAATTTGCTGTATTAAACACCTCTAAATCAAATATTTCAATCGAAATAAAAATATTTTAAGTAGTACTATCTACAAGCTAATCCTGACAATTTAAAAAGATAGATTACTGAGATGGCCCGATTAATCAATATTTATTTCAAATGGCAGGCTTTGTGATATTTATCATTAGCCCTTAAACTTTGACTTCAGCTTCCCCCAAGGGTGGGGGGGTACATTTATAGCAGTTAATTAATAGCAGTTTATTAGCTGTCTTCTAGCTTCCCAGTATCTCAGGCTTTTCGTCGTTGTCTTTAGAGCTGGACACCGAATCAGGTGGGTCTTCTCCATTTCCTCTTGTAGGTTACAGAGGGGGCATGTGGGTTGAGTGCACACTCCCAATCTGTGAAGGTGTTTTGCCAAGCAATCGTGCCCGGTAACATAGTCTAAACTCAGCAACGGCTTCGATTCTTGGCCAGTCGGCTATGTCGGAGAGTGCCACTGTCCACTGTTTCTCCTTTGTTCGAGCTTTGAGTTCGTTCCACCTTGAGGTCTGGAATTCTCTCCTGATTAAGGCCTTCATTGTGTGGAAAGACATCGGCCGGTCCATGC